GCGTATGCTAGGTGGAGCTTGAAGAGTTCCAAATATCACTCGGTGCTGGGAGCTAATTTCCAGGAGAGCAGTGATACCCTTTACACAGTGAAGTTTGCAAAAGCAGCTTCAAGCTGTTTGGATAGTAGTATTTGTCTGCGACGCTGGCTTCTTAGACAACACGCTCCAACTACCAAATTGAGTACTCTGTCAAGCTGTTCAGGGTGCTTAGGATGAGTTTGGAGAATGATGAGTCAGTTCCAAGATGGTGATTTCTGCGATGACAGTGATGGTGATGAAATAAAACGTAATATAATTATCCCATTAGTTTCATATGACGTCGCGACTTCATTGTTTTCTGATTTCAGCATATGTGCTGGTTTGTTAAGTGGATTAGAACGTTATTTCTAGGTGTTCAACCTACTGGTTACTACCCGGGAAAACTATTTGGGACTATCATCAATCCTAACTTGTGACAAAAGGACAATAGGGGTCCCGCAGCAGATTATCTCCGTACGTCTAGAAACAGAGATATAAAGAAAACTGTCCAAAAGACGTTTCCCCTTTCCTAAGGAATGTTGAGGCAGATCCAACCACGTAGCGCACTCAAACTTACAAAGACAAATAATATAAAGAGGGGATAACTTATCCGGCGCTATGAGATAGATTTCTGAGCTTAAGTAGACTTGTCGATTGAACGCTTCTTGTTGCTGATAATCTGTATAAGACCCAGTACAGATGAAAGCTGTGGCGCGGTGGGGCACAACAGACTAAACAAGAGTTCGAGGTAGACAATATGGCGAAGGACGCAAGGGACGAGATGGCCCAAGTGGTCAGAGTGCGAATTTACTGCCGGAAGGTCCGTGACTCGAACCCGACCTCTGCCTCTCGACTTTCCCTTTCTAGGCTTGGGCAACCTGGCTGTATCCCAGCCCTCGCACTTTTTTCGGGTGGCATGGCAGCTAGGCTGTCGATGCAACTTCTGAGGTGATAGTGAAGTGATGGATCTGTGGACAGGAAACTCGAGCTGAGACGGATGGAAGCTTGTGTGGAATTTCCGAGGAGCTTGGCGGAAGTAACGCCTGAAAAGGTAATTATAACTGCAACAACAGAAGCAAGGATAGGAGGAAAGAAGAAACATTTGCAATCTACGCCACGGGAAGTCTGGAAAGATGGCGGAGAAAATCAGTTTCTATTCAAGTTACTGTCATGGGCTCATAAACAGCAGCTAAGTTGTAGACAGTAAACCAATCAAGAGAGACGGGAGACCCAAATGAAGATTAACATATCGTTTTTCTTCTAGCACAAGTAGATAGCCTCGCGCACTATTACTGAAGGAAATAGACACTGCACGCATAATTTGCATCATACATTTGGCAGGAAGAATGGCGGTATGAAGTCACTGTAGATAGCTGAAATCAGTCCCAATATATGGAATGCGGAATCTAAATTCATCCATCAGATAACAAGCGCCTCGAAGTGAGTGGATATACCTGGCGGACAGAAACATCGGGGCGTTTTGCCTTCTGAAGCATTCAGCGATATTTTTTATCCTCCATCCTCACATCTTTTGTGATCAGCACGATGGACATTATCATCAAAGCAGTAGGTTGGTAGAGGAAACCGGCGCTCAACTGACAAAACAATGGAGGAATCCCGCAGTGGTTGGAGGTCTGACGAACAAAGTCTTTTGGTCCTCCAGGTTGGGGGTTGGAATGTGTGGCAATGTTTCGTAGTGGTAATATACTTGCATTTTCTGCAAAATACCGCTGCCTTGCGGTTAGACTTTTGAGCCAAATGCTTTGGTCTAGGACCTTAATCGTTCTCCCATCCAGGTCTGAGCCCCTTGGCAGTATCCCAGACCAGGTACAACCATGAATTGGACACAAATAAATGCATGCCACCTCGTCCGCGCGTAGCGCCATCAGCCTTGACACCTCATTCGGTACATATAGCAGGGCGGGTTAGGAAAACAGGCTAAAGCTGACACCTCCCTTCTTTCTCTTTCACTTACTTTCTCTTTGCCTTCTACCCACCCCATTGATAACTCTCCTCATGTAGGCCCAGCACTTGAAACTGATGACTCTTCGTCCTGCGTCGGTTTTGCAGGCAGCATCTGTGCATTATCCGGCGCCGACATTCTCGGGCATCGCAAAACCAATATTTAAGCCTCGATGTCCAGTCTATCTGTCCGAACTCGGAAGCAACAGGTCAACACGCTGCTCATGCTCCCATAGTGGACTCGCTTGGCATTGATATGTGCTGCGTCTCATAAACAAGAATTCAAGATGCAAGCGCAGTGATTGAACTAACAGCCTCATCGCTGTCCACTTGCTTCCGGCTGCGCACCTCTTGTAATCCAGGGGCTGCTGCGGTGAGATGTGCAGGGGTTGATATCGTCGTAAGTCACCGGGCGAAGGCATCCTTGCTTGACTGGATATTGCTGATAGTCGCCTCTGTGCGGTTCGTCTGGCAACGTCTGGGAAGGAGTGTCATAAGCGGGAAGTTGGTCGATGTGTGCTTGTCATGTTTGCTTACGCCCCAACTGACGGTATCTTTGACACCATCAGAGACAAGTTTTGTCACCAAGAATGCCCTGCTGCGGCGAGCTAACAGCTCAGATATCGTTGTGTTTGCCGATGATCTGGACGCACAAGTGTGTTGGATTAGCGCATCTGAGAATCAACTGGGTGGTCGGACTCGGTAGGTACGGTCAGCTGTGAGCTGACCGCAGACTGTTTTTAAACAATACTAATTTCCGAAATAGCCGAAGTTGCCTAACCACATGGTGTCCTCCAGCGGCGTGCAAGTCAGGAACTCGAATCCATCACATTACCATCAGTTACCGATGGCGTGGATCAGTAACGGATTGCCGGCCGTTTGGGAGAATATTTGCGGATTCTGATCACGCACTCGTCCGGAGTCGCTTCTTCCTCCGTTTTCCAGGACCGCGTAAGGCGCGGATGAATCGCCTGGCAAATTACAGGCCCGGATGTTGGACGAATGTACCAGAATCGTACTCTAGAGTCTCTTCCAAATGCTCAACCATCAGAGTAAACTCATCGGATGTTGGACGAATGTACCAGAATCGTACTCTAGAGTCTCTTCCAAATGCTCAACCATCAGATGTAAACTCATACTGGGATAAGATCACCACCCCTTTGTACAATAAGGGGAACTTTGCTTTTATCATAGCGCTACCAGGATTACTCAAGCATTGGATATCAGGCCGAACAGTAGCACTGCTTAAATCTAGAAGTATGCCAGCCGGTCCCGAACATAACTTGACGTGACGAGTTATCAAACGCCAGTTGAAAATGAGCGTGCAAACGGACAGTGAAGTTTGGTGGACACAAAAAGTCAAGGAAATGGGAAAGGCCGAGAAAGCCGGTAATGCCCGACAATTATGTCATCTGATCCGCACAACCAGGGCTCGGAAACCATCTGTGAGCGAAAACAACAAGGATCAGAATAGACTGGTCATCTTGAATAAAGTAGAACGCCTGGACCGGTGGGCCGAATACCTCGAAAAAAATACCGCGGTCACCAGCTGTCACTCACCTGGAGCCCACAGTTGACGTGGAACCCTGGAAGATGGACGTGGAACCCCTTACGGCCTCGGAGTTTTATGACTGCATATGTTCTCTCCAGCCACCGATCTTTTGGTCCGGATGATCCCCCACCCTCATGGTTAAAAAGTGTGAGTGAAATCCCCAGTTAGCGTGTCTGATCTGCTTGCCTAGATTTTGGAAAACTGTCCCAGACATCTGAAGAGTCGTTGATAGTGTCCATTTCCAAAAAGAGGGGCGCGTAGTGAGTGTGGTAAACATAGGAGGATCAGCTCAACCCCGCTTGTAACGAGACTGCTGCCGTCACGCGTGCTTTGTCGTCTTATGGTGTGTCACGAGCAGCATGAAGCATCAAGCGGGATTTCGACCTGGGAGGGGCTGCATTGTCCAAAACTTCACACTTCGTCAGTTGCTACAACAACGTCATACGCAATAACGACCCACAGTTTTAGTAGTCCTGGATCTCCTAGGTCGTCGAATAGGTTGATAGGTTTGCTCCCTTAAGACGCTTACCCAGCAAGTAATACCCCAGAAGTTCGTGAAAATAATAAACACTGTGTTTTCAGACTTCCGGACGTGTGAGAGTATACGTGATATCGTTACTTCGTGGTCGATGAAGTCTTAAGACAAAGGCCCCCAGAACCTTGGCATTTAAATAGCCTGTGACGAAAATCTTGTCTATCTGGAATATGCAGACGATATCTTTCTCGTTTTCGAAGAGGTAAAGTTACAGGTGTTTTTGGATTATACAACGATAGTCATTCCTTCCTTTGGTATGCGCTTTGCGTCCACAAAGTGTAAGGTCGTGCTACTGGATATGCGGTCACTGAACACGTCACTTCCAATCCACCGAGAGGTACTGGAAGTTGTGGAGCGCTTAACGTATCTTGGAAGTTGTATTAGTTCTGATTGTCCTATATATCTTATATATCTTGGACGTTTTATTAGCTCAGATTGTAGTGTAACAGATGAAGTCAATGCAAGAATCTCCCAGACTAGGAGCGCGTTTGCTAATTTGAGACACCTATGGCGTCAAAGCAGTGTATCCCTAAATCTCAAGAGGCGTGCGTATCAAGCTAGAGTGCGGGCTGTTTTTTTTTGTATGGCTGTGAGACTTTGCTTATTCCGCACATTGGCGGAAAGAGGTACCAAGACGAAGTGCTATCACACACAGGACTAGACTCCTCTGTCCGACTCTCCTGTCAGTGATACAGCCGACAAGACTAGCATCCTTCCCACAAAAGTCGCGAGTACAGCACCTCACATCCTCGCACGTACATACGAAATTAACGCTGAATTTACTAACCTACCTGTAAAACATTTACTGATCCTGCTTACCGTGGACACACATAAGACGAGGGCATATTTGAATTTATATATATATATACATGTATATGGAAATGTATGTGCGTATATTTCAATGGCCATACACAGACGTAAGTAAACGCTTACCAAGTAGAAGTAACTTCAGCTCCCGCCGTGCATCCTTTTTGTCCTTTTTCAGTTGTTTTTCAATTTCCTTATTAATCCTGCTCTGCTCCTTATACTCTTCACTTCTACAGCAAAGCATTCCACCTCTGGGACTGAGGAAACGCGAGATATCACCGGAAGAAGGACGACACCATTCTCAAACCGTAACAAGCGCCAATCCTGTGTGGCCGTTACAAACAACTAGGCGCTAAATTTCAGTTCACTTTCACCTGTTTCACGAGACTCAATGGTCCAGGATGGGATCGGACCTCACAGGATAAGTCACAAGCCCAGAATTTGCCAACGAAAATAATTATTCAATCTAACTCATGCCTCGAAAGCTACGGGATTATTTGTCTCCAAATTCGTGCATTTACCGACTTATCCACGTACTCAAGGCGTTGGTCCACGCTTCGAGATTCGCGCTTGATTTTGGCATTCAGCGAACCCGACTCATATCGGGTCACAAGCGTAGAAGTCCATGGTAACACACGTTGGTTCCCAAAGTCCAACAGAAACTTTCCGGCTCGGGATTCCTAAAAGTCGTAGAATGGCTTTTAGAATTTCATGCACACCCTTGGATTAATTATGCATCATGCAGCTACGTGCCCTGCTGTGAATTACGTTAAGGGGGTAAGAAGCAAAAAAATTACTGGGCCAGATTATGCTCAATCTCGGGTCCCCTCCAATGTGATGATATCTAGTCGACGACGGCCAAAATTCACCGAGCGTTTTTCGTAGCCAACGGATCCGAGGCCAGGGGCCCCCATCGTAGCGTCTCGTCAAAGGCGAATCAATATAACGAATTCTTCGCCTGTATGGACATCCATAAAGTGATATGGGGAGAGCGCGTCGACTCATCAAGATAGGCAAGTTTCCTTCGGGCCGCTTTTGGTGACGGAGTGAAGAAGTTGCACTTGAAATGGACTAGACACCCAAGTTATTTTTAATATCCAGCTTCGCGACACCTTTCGGTTCGTCTCCATCATGCACAGAACGGCATTGAACGGATGCGCTAGCTTGGCCACGTGCTTGGGACCTGGCGCGGTACGTTCAAAATCGGTTTCGTTTTTCCCTCGTGCAAATTCGTGAAAATTTTTTTCGTTGTTCAATCTATTCACAGAGTACACACGAGTGATTGTTGAATTTTATTAATCTAACAAAACATTTGAGAGATAACTCTTGATATTTTGCGCACAACTGCTACTTTACATCTAATCCTAAACATGACATCAATTTACACCGATTGCCCGCCGCAGCCACTGATGGACCACAGCAGATACGGACGAAATGGCTGGCCGTCGAACGTCAAACGTTGTATGCAATGCCAAACATGCATGACCAGGTGGCACTTTAAATGCACGGGTTTACAGGACGACCGGATAAGCCGACTAGCTAACTCTCCTGACCCGTTAGTCTACGCCAGCTGCCTCTACGTTAAGGGTTTAATGCATACTACCAAGAGGAGAGCCCCCCAAAACGGTACTCGATTCCCAGTGCAGATTCAGAAAGACCACCGTCAGTGTTCCGCTTTAATCGGGATATTCGACGCGAAATTGGGGCGTCTTTCTGAGGCACTGGAGGACTTAGGCCCTAAGAATGCAGCGACCTGGACGAAAGCTGACAAGGAACGTTCTTCGCTGAACAAATACCTCGCGATATCCATACCGGGCCCCATGGCTGCGAAGAAATTCATACAACTATCTGACACGGGTATAAAAACCGCCACAGCGTCTCTAGTGGACAGGCGTATAAGGAAATCTGACTGACAACCTGGGGGTCATTCTCCGGAAAAATCACGTCACCGAAATTGGCACAGTCGATTCAGTGTCCTCGCCAAGCCTGATCAAGCGCTCCACGCAGAATATTTACGCCCTAGGGAATCCATCGACCTCTTGGGCTTTTAGTCATTTATGCCCCCATCTACCGTACTGAGGATCTTGGAACGGGCTGGCAGTATTCAAAAGGCTAACCCAATGATCAGGCACCTATCTGAGGATCGCCCTCTAGACAGGCGAAAGCTTGGTCACAGCAGATCAGGGGTACAGGTACGAAACAGGCTTCCGCTGGGCGCCAATTCAGCTGACCCCAAAATCATGACCAAGCCGATTGTGGTCATATCCCCCTGTGCTCCCGAAAGCAGGCCGACGAAACCAGCTGCATCTCCGGACAGCGGTTTTTATTCGACCACCACAGGCCTCTCACCCACCAAAGATAGGGACGGCCTGGAAGAGGCAAACCCAACATTCAAGCAGCCCCCAAACTACGTGGAACTATCAACGCCTATCTCCGTAACAGGCGACACAGGGGCAGCCATGCACTCCTCACCGAAGCCACAGTCTCTGAACTGAACTGAGTCAAATGTGCGGGAACAAGCGGCGAAGCCTATCTCCAGCTCCACTCCGCCAAAATCGGCCTCTGCTTGTAGACGCAGTCGTCGCCCAGGACCCCGACAACCAAAGCCGTAAACGTGACTACAGTCAACCGGAAAGTCCCTCGTACCTCCAGCTGGCCACGCTGATCGCCGGCAGATCGGGTGTTCTCGCAAACACGAAAGAAGGGCGAATGCAGCCAAACAAGCCACAAAATTCGCCAGATAAGGAAACTGCTGGCTGGTTTCAAGGTGCAGTCCTCTGCGAAAATGAGCCTCTTGGGAGCGCCACCAAACGCATTATTTCTCGGTACCGCCACCCAGCGATCAGGGCCTCACAGAGAGACGTTTCCGGTCAAACCGCGCCAAAACACCCAAGGATCCAGAAAGGCGAAGGCTTCCAACAAATCTTTGATCACCAGCAAATCTGGTCGACGAAAAGGGGATGCTGAAAGAGCTGCAAACAGCATCGGTCGAAATTTTCGCCCATGGGGAAAACCTCCGTCCCCCAAAGCCAAAAACCCCGAGCAAACCGAGCTCCCACGGAGCGAATAAAATCTTGCAGACGAAAAGCATCCTCAGGAACCAGAAAAACAGGAAGCATACGACATCGCCCAAGAGGCCCCCTTGGTGCCTTGGACTCAGACTCAAACCTGGTGCACAACTAATAAGTCTGCTAACCACCCTGGTCACTCAACTTTCCGCTCCTCACCCTCGGAAAAAGAAGAGGCAGTGTTGAAATGCTTGTACACAAACTGCCTCAGCCTTTTCAACAAACTCGGCGATGTTAGACAGTCAGCTTGCCTTGAAAAACCGTCCATAATCGCACTCACAGAGACCTGGCTCACACCAGATGTCTCCGACGCGGAGATCTCGATAGACGGTTACTTTATTTTTCGAGCTGACTCAAAACGAGGGAGGGCTGGTGGGGTTGCTCTGTACTTACATGCGGCCCTACCAATCCCGATTGTCCTCGCTGACACCACCCCTGCACCCTTCTGCGATGCACTGTGGGTCCAAATCCCGCTGCGCGGGTCCGATTCTCTCCTTCTCGGTGTGGTCTACCGTAGCCCTTCGAGTCCCCCTGAGGATGACCAATTCCTCACACAAACCCTTGGGCAACTCTCCTCCAACTACCATTTCACTCATCTCCTGCTGGTAGGTGACTTCAACGCCCCAAAGGCCTCCCAGATGCAACTCCTGCGCATCGAATCAGGCGGACCTTTTGCAGCGGCGCTGTTTGAAGGCGTTCAGCAGAGCGCTTGGACCCAACATGTCTTTGCACCCACAAGATAGCGCGCAGGCCAACTACCATCCCTCCTGGATTTGGTCATCACCAACGAAAGACACTTCGTTCATCAGATAACAATTAACGCTCCACTGGGACATGGTGACTACTGCGTGCTGACCTTTGACTTCATCTGCTATTGGGCCAGAAATCCCAAACCACAAACGTGGTTTCGAGACTTCTGCCATGCAGACTTCTCAGGAATGCACATCTTCCTTGAACAAGTCACACTGGGACCAGCTCCGGTGGAAGACCTATCTAGGACCATTGTCCAGAAAGTTGACGAGGCTGACGCGACATTCGTCCCAAAAAAAACCGGCACGCACTCAGATGAACCGCAGGCTGCAAAAAGGATTCGGCGACTTCTGGAAAAAGATCCTAGCTCTTTTTCAAAAATTTGACCACACTGGACACAAGATGAGCTGGCATTTCGTAAATTGCGGAACCGCTGTAAATCGGAAATCCGCCGATGGAACATACGAAAACATACGAAACAGAACCAACAGTGGTATCTGAGGCTTACAGAGAACACTATGCATGTTTATACTCAGCCCCAGCGTCCTCGTCACATCCACCCTTGTCAAGGAGAAACTACGAACAGCCTCTAACCGAATTGACCTTCACGGTGGAAGAAATTCGTCAACTCCTGCACGAGATCAACCCATTCTGCGCGTTGGGGCCCGACGTGGTCCATCCAAGGATCCTGAAAGAAACGTCCTCCACACGGGCAAACCATCTACGCTTGGTGTTTCGTCAGTCGCTTGACGAAGGCCGCCTTCCCCTTGCTAGGAAGGAAGCGATTGTCACGCCAATATACAAAACTTGTGACCGACTATCGCCTGGCAGCTATAGGCCTATAAGCCTCACTAGCGTGCCGTGCAAGGTGATGGAACGCATTCTGAAGCGAGCCAT